TGGGCATTGATAGGGATGCTCTCAATGTATTAAACAAAAATATCTTAAAATAACCAAAAGAAATCTGGGCACTTTAAAGCAACTGTTAAAACCAGAAGTATCGCTTTGTTCCCTCTCTTTTAAGCTGGAAAAAAAAATATAAAGAATTTACTTGAATAAAGCATTTCCCTGTGGTAATTGTGGAGTGCCATACAGCTAGCTGTACAGCACTTTTTACAGGAGAATTGGAAAATGTTTTAGGGAACACAAGATCTCTGTGACTCCAAGCTGTTATTTCCATTTCAGATGAAGGAGATGGAGAAGTGATTTCCTACAGACTAAAACATGAATCTCCCCCAGACTTTCTCTTAATATGTAAAAATGATGCATGGAAGTTCTTAGTGCTGCCATGTTTAATATCATGTTAATAGGTGGCCAATATGCAAAATGCACAGGAAGGAAATTTAACCATGTGTAGTGTCATGGATATTTTGTATTTTAAAAAAATGCAACTATTGAAATAATTCAACTTTGTTCTTCTAATGAAGTTTAAACTCTTTTCTGAGAACTGTGCTGGTATCAGTTGTATGTTGCTGTATTTTTCCAAGTACACAATCAGAAGTGCACCCATAGGAAGTTGATGATGACCATCGTACAGTCACTTTAAAACAAGCAAAACGTGTCTGAGAATAAATTGGATCTTTTCAACTCTTCTCGAGTAGTTGTATTGTACGGAGTGATTTCCTTCCCATGTGCCACTTCCATCTCCATGAAGGAACTCCTAGGCCTTTGCAGTTTTTTTGGTCAGGCCAGCCACCGTGGAAGTGTACATCTCTCCTAGCAATAGCTGTGCCGCTTTTGCATTAGGCTTCTGAGAATAAGCTATCAAAGTTAAGCGGCTGCTATCTTTAATATGGTAATGTGTGGGATAAACACGTACAGCTCTGGTAAGGGGAAACGTCTTGTGTGCCAGCCACTAGGGCTGGTGGCCAAGAGCAAAATCTTCCTGTTGGCACAGAGCAAGAAGAGCATGTCAGTAGCATGTCGGATAACGCCAGCTTGCGCCCTTTGAAATGGGCTCCTCATATGAGGAAGAAGCTTCATCTCTCTTAATATTGTTTGAAACTAAAAACTAAAAGAGCACCTAAATTAGGAGGCTGGGGGTCCTATAGTCTGTCCTCAGCAGAGGTCGGAATTGCTCTGTGGAGATGCCTCTCTCCATCAGTTACAGAAGTAGCCTAGGGCAAGTCAACTCCTAAATTAAGTGCTTCAGTAAAGTGTCTGCAATTAAATGTGACAAACTCAGCCTTTGGAGGTTGCGTTCTGCAAGGAGGAGTGGACTGGGTGCCACACAACCATGGTGCTGTGCGGCCCCTGCTTGGTGCAGTTGTTTTCATCTTTTTTTAATGTATCAAGTGTTGTTAATTTGTTTCTTGGTAGCTAATGATTTTTTTATTTTCCCTCCCTTTTTGAAGAAATTACTTGAAAAATTCTTAGATTTTTTTTGAGCCTTTTGCAAAACACAAGGAAATGCGCATGATAGAGCTTAATCGTATTACAAGAGATTGTTACTCTAAAAGGCAAACTATTTTAGTTATATTGTGTTATTGTGCCATTAGTACTGTTTGACTGCCAACTGTGCAGCAGTGGGACTCCAATCAACAGGAGCCTTTGTGTGTTTTCCATTGCAAATAGTGCCAAGGAAAGGAGGGAGAGAGGCTCTTAGTGGTACAATTTTTTCGGTGATTAAAAATACTTGAGATCCATTTCAGTGATCAGAAATGTGTCTTAATGTGACAATTAGTCAAACCATAAAAGCTGCATGGCAGTTTAGCTTGCATTACTACTGGAATAATTTGCTGCTTGTTTTCTTCCTCCTGATTTGACTTGATCACAATGGTCTGGATGAAAGTCACTGTAGACAGGACTTGCAGCTAGGTTCAGTTCTCAAATGGCCATGATTATCTGTGAGGCAGACAGTTCCCTTAAAAATAAGGGAGACTTTGAGGAAAAAAGTGGTTATTTCACATATAAAAAAAATTAAATGCCTCTGTCCAAGTGGCTACTACAGTGCCTTTAAACATCCAGCTGCCTGCTACTGCCATGGCAACTAATTGCAGGTAGTATTCAGGGGACAGGTACTAAACTGAAAAGGCTACTTAAAATTTGTATTTATTTTTTTCCTTATGTAACAAAAACACAAGACTGGGGCCTGAGGTCTCTTTATGCCTTCTAGCCAGCTGTGTTCAAAACGTCTGATGGGGCTAATTTTTTATCTCACTGGAAGATATTTCACTGTCATACTAAAAATCTTTTTTCATCTGTCTCTGGTCTTTCACAATTGGGTCACAATATTGCTCTAAATCCAAGTCAGAGCAGTTGTTTTCAACTCATACTTGTCTTAAAGTTTGCTGCTTCTCTTTGAGACCTGAAGCCTTTTGCTCCTCAACGGTTGTTTGTATTTATTTCAGCTAAATGAGTTGATCTATTAAGGCTTAATATCTCTCTGCAAAACTGCTGGCATTCTAACTTGGAGGTATGTCACAAATGTCCTCAGGGTGATGTTACAGAGGGCACTGAACACACAAAACTAAAACTTTTTTTTTAAAGATAAACTAGTCACACTGATGAGTTCATCTGCCTGGGGTGTTTCCATTGATTTTCATGGAATTCCATGCTCAAGAGGTCTGGGAAGTTAGTCTTCCATTTTTGGGAGTAAATTCTGCCCAGAACTAACATTATTTAAACTAACTTAATGTAATTATTTTGCATTTACCTAAGAGGCCAATAAATGATTTACTGCCAGAGGAGAAATTTACTGCCGTTGGTGTCCCACGGACAAATGCAGTGGGGTGGGGTTGTTTTAAATCACCTCTCTGTGCTGAGGGCTGCAGTGGAGCTGGAGGCTGGAGCTTGGTTGTGGTGCAGGACAGCCTGCTCAGTAGGTACAGGTCAGGGTGACAGTGAAGGGGTGACTCACTCACTGCTGTGCGGGCAGAACTAGAGCGAGGCAGATGCTGATACCCGAGTCTGCTGTCTGTGCCAGTGCCTGCTGCAGAAAGTGCCTTCATTATCTGTGCCAAGCTCAATGTTATTGATCTTCTCAATATGGTTCAGGTGGAATGTTTTCACTTTCTAATCTTGTATATCAGAGTCGTAGAAAGCAAAAATGTTTCGGTCTTCTAGAGAGACAATACAGTTTCTGCTTAGTTCAACTTCGAGTATTTTTTTCTCACTTAGTGAAGAATATTTTTTTAATCATAGAATGGTTTGAGTTGGAAGGGATCTTAAAGATCATCCAGTTACAACCTCTCCTGCCATGGGTAGGGACACTCTCCACTACACCAGGTTGCTCAAAGGCCTCATCCAACCTGTCCTTGAACATTTCCAAGGATGAGGCATGGGGCCAGCCACAACTTCTCTGGGCAACCTGGTCCAGTGCCTCACCACTCTCAGTGTGAAGAATTTCTTCCTTATATCTAATCTAAATCTGCCCTCTTTCAGTTTAAAGCCATTGCCCCTTGTCCTATCACTACACACCCTTGTAAAAAGTCCCTCTCCAGCTTTCCTGTAAGCCCTCTTTAAGTAATGGAAGGCTGCGATAAGATCACCCCGGAGCCTTCTCTTCTCCAGGCTGAACAGCCCCAACTCTCTCAGCCTGTCTTCATTGGAGAGGTGCTCCAGCCCTCGGATCATCTTTGTGGCCCTCCTCTGGACTGGCTCCAGCAGCTCCATGTCCTTCTTGTGTTGGGGACTCCAGAGCTGAACACAGTATTCCAGGTGGGGTCTCAGGAGAGCAGAGTAGAGGGGCAGAATCACCTCCCTCGACCTGCTGGCCACGCTTCTTTGGATGCAGCCCAGGATACAGTTGGCTTTCTGGGCTGCAAGCGCACATTGCCAGCTCATGTTGAACTTCTGATCAGCCAACACCCCCAAGTCCTTTTCCTCAGTGCCGCTCTCAATTCATTCTCTGCCCAGCCTGTACTTGTGCTTGGGATTGCCCTGACCCATGTGCAGGACATTGCACTTGGCCTTGTTGAACTTCATTGAGGTTCTCACAGGCCCACCTCTCCAGCCTGTCAAGGTCCCTCTGGATGGCATCCCTTCCCTCCAGCGTGTCCACAACACCACACAACTTGGTGTCATCTGCAAACTTGCTGAGGGTGCACTCAATCCCACTGTCCATGTCACCAACAAAGATGTTAAACAGCACGTGCTCCAATACCGACCCCTGAGGAACATCACTTGTCACTGGTGGACAATTTCTCTGTATTCCTCCCAGGCTACTTGTCCTTGCTTCCACCCTCTGTAGGCTTCCTTTTTGTGTTTGAGTTTGTTTAATGCCTCTGGCATCTTTAGGTCATCAGTAAGGAACCTAATTTGGGCATAGTGATAGTGTCATTTTGACACCACCTTTGTTTTGGATCAGTATTGCTGTAAATGTGGTTTGGCTATTTGTAACTGCATCCATCTCCCTGCCTGTTACAGCTGATAGGAGATACTGAGTGATAGGCTTTGTCTGTCTTTAGTTCTATGGTGGGCAGCCTGTCTCTCCTGCAGCTGCACTAGAAACGGCAGCTTTGCTGCCTAGTGCCAGTTTGTGGTCAACAGAAAAGCGGAACTGGCACATCTGTATGAATATGTATGGCTTGATCATCAGCTGTTAATGACTGTGAAATTATTATCTTTGACATGGGAAACTTCCTGAGAGTTGAAAGTATGCCAGCTATCCAGGAGTTTAATTCTTCTTTTAATAAAAATCAAATTATTAGAACTACATGCACGTCACAGTTCTACGTGAATTTGTAATGTTCAGGGTGATAACACATGACCTGTTCTGGAAAAGGCAGTATATTCTTATTTGGTTGACACATGGGTGTAACAAGTAAGATTACCTAGAGCTTCATTAAGAGGCATAGAAGTGTAAAGAACAGACTGTATCCTGACATTTTTGATACCTTTGTAATGCAAGTAAATTGCCTGACGGAAAACCAAGGCAAAAGGGCATGTGTCCTTGCAAATCAGTAAGCATTTAACACTGCTTTTCAGGCTTCTTTGCAAAGTGGATCTAACTTGCTATCACCTCCTAAAGGAGAAAAAGATAACTTACAATGTACACGCAAGTAAATTTATTCTTCTTTTAGATTTCTACTCCTTATCCTAGCATCCATATTCCTTTGCATTCTCTCTCACAGTACTTGGACCTAGTTTGGCTCTACCCTGTTTAACTGCATAATCGGAGATTGATTCAGCTTTGATCTGGAGTTGAAACTG